TAAGCGATTACCACATCTGCTGCACTTGGATGCAGCCTCAGAATCTGACTCAGCATAGCCCTCCAGGCAGTCATTACTAATCAATCACCCTCAGGATGAAACTCTTTGCCTTTCTCTGAAAGGAGAGAGCTGGAACTCCTCAGCCTGTCTCTTTGCTATCTTTTTCCACCCTTATGTCCCATCGCTACTTCTGCTTCCTCCAGCTGCTTGCCATTCACAAATAGACCGGCCTTTTCCTCACTCTCAGAGCCTTTGTCCTTGCCCATGCCTCAGCCTGGAATGCCCTCCATGCAGGTGGCTAGTTGTTCCTTGGTATCTGTCCTCCCACTTCCCATAGTAATAAAGTTGTATTTGGGCAAATGGCCACCCAGCCAAAAAACACGGCCTGGCCTCCCTTGGACCTGGGGTTAACCATGTGACTAAGGGCTGGCCAATGGGGTATGAGCAGAAGTGATACATGTCAGGTTGCTTTTCTTCAAGCTTTGCCCTGAAGGGGCATATACTCCCCTGGGCACTTTCCCCTTTCATGCTGGCCAGGGGACGGTGAGAACGAAGCAGCTGCCAGGAGTCCAGAGATGAAAGCCACCTGATGACGATGGCAGGGCTACCCTGCCAGCCCTGGACCACTGTCCTCTGGCTTGCTAAGGAAAAGACCACCCCCACCTTGGTGGAGTCCCTGTATTTGGGGTCTATTGTTATGGTGGCCACCGGGTCTATACCCTAACTATATGCTCTCCCATCTGCTTCTGTGGTCCTTACCACCAACCAACTGCCACCTCCTCAGTGATGATTGCTGGAGTCCCAGGCTCCTCTGGGATCCCCAGCACATCATATGCACCTCTCGTTAGCACACCCTAGGCCAGAGTATGACCGTGGCCTCTCCAACTAGCCTGGCTGAAAACCCCTTGTGTCCCACTCATTCATCCTCTATACCAGAGCTGGCCACAGCAACAAAGCACAGATCTGACCATATTACCACCTGGTCCCCACTATCGCAGTCCAGCTTCTCAGCTTAGTAGTCCATGCATGACTCTAGCCTGCCCTTCCCCTTAGAGGTGAGGCCCAGACAGTGGAGTGATCTGCTCCAGCAGCTCCACTGGTCCTGGCTCCCTCTGTGTGTGCAGCCATGTGCCACTGCCAGCCCCACCCAGCCCCAGCGTGGCGGGCCTGAAGTAGCTGTTTCCTTGCCGACCGGAGCCTATATTGTCCTGCTCCTCATTTGTTGCTAAGAACAGGAACAGAGAATGGGAGAGTTTCCCTGATCTCTGTGTTCTTTCCAAGTGGCCTAGGAAGTCCCATGGTCTGTATATCTGTTCCCAAGGCCCTTCTCCTGTCCCGCCAGGGCATACGCGTTGTAAAAGGCCCACACCTATTCCTCTGAACTTCTGGCCGTCGTGACCCTCCTAATGCGGCCAGACCTTTGGCATCCCCTCCCAGGCTTGCAAGCCCATCGCTCCCCCGGCAAACAGCGCATGCAGCCCAGAAGCAGGATGCAGCCAGAGCCCAGCCAGCACATGGTTATTTTGGGACAGGGAGGGTCCTGGGAGGATGCTGGCGAGGTCAGCATAGGAAGGGAAGGAGGTGGGTTTTCTGCCCACGATTATGTGTCCCAAGCCCTCTGGATGCCACCCAGGGCCCAAGACTGCCACAAGGAAGAACACACCCACCACAGGACTCCCACCTCGGCCCGGTCAGCCGCAGAGGCAAGCTGGGGGCAGGCACGGGTTTGGGGCTCTAGGCTGCAATCTCAGAGGCCACAGTGGGCAGGAAGAGCGTGTGTTTATTTGTTGTGTCCCAACAGCAGTGACTTCAGCATCAGGCGCTACTCAGAGCAGTCTTGGGGGCAGAGAGGTATCCGAAGCCAACCAGAGGGGAGATGGAGAACAGGAGAAAGAATCCAATCACTCAGGAATGATTCTTGATAATCAGTTATGGAATATTCACTGAGCATCTACTCTGTAGGGGGCACAACACTAGGTGCTGGCAAGACAAAAGGGAATAATGCTTTTACTTTGTATGTGGCGCTTTACAATTGTCCAAGTCCTTCTGCAAGTATTGGGAACTTTAAAGTAGTTCATAAACTCTGACCCTAATAAAATGATTAGAGGTGACTGATTGGGATGCAAGAATGACAGTGGTGTTTTACCCATGAGTTTGAAGACTGCAAACATTTTACAATGTCAGAACTCCACTCTGCCTACTTCCAGTGTCCTGGAGAAAATCATCCGTCAATGTGAAGTGCTCACTTCCATGCCTGGACATAGTAGGTGCTCAGTTAGGGGCAGTGGCAGTAACTATTATTACTCATAATAGCTTGGCAGCCACATGGCCAAGAGACTTAAGTGTGGAGGAAGTAACTTGACCATGGGGTGAGAAGCCTCAGTGTGGGCAGAGGGGGCAGGTCTAGGCATGCAGCAGGATCTACCTAGACCATCCATGCAGATGCATTCCCTCCGTGATTCCATTGTCTGAGATGCTTCTGTGCAGCCCTTCCAGTCCTTCTCTGTCAGCTCCAAAAAGCTAGGAAAGCATCTTAGTCTTCTTCCTATTTTGCCTCAATTTGGGGTCTTCTCTTTAAAGTCTCCTGGTGTTACCCACCTGGCTCTGACCAATACTTTGGGGAATTCTCTAACACCTGGACATCCCTCCCAGGAGGCCCTGCTCTGTCTCCTCCCATCTCCTGGTCAATTTAATTCATGCTGGGGGCCCCTCTCACAGAGGACCTGCGTCAAGCCCTTCCTTCTCCCCACTGTGCTTTTCTCACACCCATCACCTCTGAGCTGCTCATGCTGCTTCACAGCTGTTTCTTCCCTGTCCAGAGCTCTGGGTCTCACACAGACTCCCAGAAGGTGAGGCGAGATGAAGCACTCTTCCCGAATTTTTCTCCCTTCTGGCACATCCTCCCCAGCTCCCAGCCTCCCAAGACCACCACAGCCAGATGCTCTGTAGCACAAAACTGATACCTATTGGTTAGGCACCCACTTTGATGGCAGGCGGGACATGGGAGGCCCAATCTGGCAGGGAAGGGAGAAGGGCAAGCCTCTGCCTTGCCACAAAGGTGCAGCCCACATTGCCCCCCAACACCAGGACATGGTGCTTGATGAGGATTTCTGTGCGTCTTTAAAGTGCAAGAGGGACAGAGGGGAAACTAATAATAATTACACTTATTAGGAGTCAGGAAAGGTGTTAAGTGCTTCCCACAATGATCTCACTGAATCTCTACCCCCATACCTGCAGGTGGGTATTATCACCATTTTTCACACAAGGCAAAGGAGGAAAGAGAGGTTAAATAATTTTCTGAAGGTCACACAGCTGGTAAATGTCAGAGCTGGAATCCAAACCTCTATCTTCCATGGCTCCAAGTCTCCTGCCCTTCACCAGCGTTTTATACTTGGAGCAAAAAACGATTGCAATTGACCAAGACTTATGGGGACAACAGATAGGATTACTTGAAACGTGGGCTGCCCCAGAAACCCTGTTGAAACGTGGGCTGCCCCAGAAACCCTGATGCTACAGTCGCTCTGCCCCAGCCCCATCACCCCACCCTTGCTTCTTTTCATCTCATTAATCTTGGCATTCTTCTCCCAAAAGCTTTCTCAGATCCCAGGGCTCAGTCTTCTGAGCCCTGAGGGAGGGAGAGAGCTTCCCAGGGCTTCTAGATACCCTTTTAATTAACCCAGACTACCCTCTTCTGACTGGGGCCAGCTGAATCTTGTCATGCTCTCAACCATCTCCCATGGCAGCACCCCTGAACTGTGACTCCCACCTCAGCCTACCATGCTCCGGCAAGTGCAGTCCCTCCATTTCCCATACATTCAACAGCTGTTGGCCTCTTTTCCCTGGTTGGGGCCTTTGGGTGAGGGCTACTAGGGCGCCTTGGCTACTGTGTCCATGGAGGGGCTGTCAGAGAGCCCAGTTGGTATCCTGCCAATGCCACCTGCCCACAGCAGGTATTGAGGGGCCACACTCTGAGCTGGCAGAGGCCTGGAGCAGGGTGAAGTCCTTTGTGATTACTCAGAAGTATTACCTTGTCTCCCTCAACCCTTTTTTGGAGCTTCCTTCTTCACCCCACCCCCACCCCAAAAGTAGGGCCCGTTCCAGTTGCCATGGGAACAGTGCCACTTGCTCATCTGTCATGCTCATGGCTTAATAATAATGGTCAGCAACTAGAAAAGTCCTCATGAACTATAACATCATTATTATTAACTATGGACAATGCAGTTGAACCCAACACACAGCATGACACCCAGCACAGCAGAAACTCAGTACACAGCCCTGACTAGATGAACAGACCCACATGAGAAGCAGGCTGTGTGAGACAGAGGAAAAGGCACTTGAAGAGTCCTCCGAAGAGTCCTCGGAGGTGATCTGCCCACACAGGGCTAGTGAATGACAGAAGCAGAACCTGAATCCAGGTGGGACCTGTTAACTTTGTGACACCACATCGTCTTGCAACCTTGAGCTTGTGTGCACATGTGTGTGGGGGGGATAGCCTGGATACTATATATTGAACACGCAAGCACCCTAAACCACTTAGTGAAGGCAGTCAAGTTTTACAATTATGGGTAATTCATTCATTCTGGTAACAGCACTTTTGTATACCTACTATGTGTCAGGAGCTAGAGGCACAGTAATGACCGTGATGAGCCTGATCCCTATCCCATCCCATCCCCCCCCCCACTTCTCTTCAATTCTGCATAACACTGCAGAATTTGCAAAACATAGCCACACCCATTATCTCATCTAATTTCACAATGTGGTGCATACAGTGAAGACCCATGGAAGAATTTATGAATGAATGAATGCTTGAATGAGTGAATGATGGATAGGGGATGAGTGGGCTAATCAATGAGTAGGTGGAAGGTCACATCACAGATATTGTCATTCTCATCTTTCAAATGAAAAGTGATGCTCTGAGCAATGTATGGCCAGAGCACAACCATTGAGAGGGCCCCTGGTATGTGTCCTTGTCCTAGTCATCCATTTGCAGGGCTCCTTACCTGGAGGGCAGTGACACCCTGGAGACGTCTTCGGGGCCTCCCGGCGCCTGCGAGAGTGGAGTTTCCATTTCTGCACAAGGAAACAGAGGAAAAGAGTCACTAGGGATTGTAAAGGCCAAGCCCTGGAAATCGTCTGCGGGCTGGCAGGGGTGGGAGGTAGCGGGGAGAGGCCGCTTGGGGGCTGGCAGGAGGACATTCCTGGATCAAAGACTGGCCACCAGACATCTGGGTAATAAGAAGCAGACGGAGGTCCCAGCTAGGTCATCTCAATATCGGGTGTCTTCAGAAGGCTCTTAAAGAAATTAACCCCACCCACAGGACCCTAAAAACCAGTTGTGGCCTTCCTGCACCGTATACTCTTGGGTACAATGGCCCGCTTTTCTTGGCTGTCTACTGTTTGTTCCCTGACTAGTTCTGGGTTCCTGTTGGATCCCGGGGCAGGAAGAGTGACTTCTGTTCTTCTAGTGTCCCTCACAGAGCCCGACACAGGCAGGAGTGGGTGTAGGGAGCTAGGCAGGCCCTCTGCCCCTCCACCAAACCTCTTCCTCACTAGTGTGCCAATCATTGAGCCAATCTGGAAGGCCCCAAGGAGGTGGCACCTCCTGCCCTGAAGGAGACGCAGTTCCGTGGTGGTGAATGGACAAGTGAGCGCCTGTAAGCACCAGCACCTGGAGTGCCCACTCGGCCAAGGGCAGTGCCCCTCATGCCTCAGTCCTCACAGGCACCCTGGGGCGTGGGCTACACTCACACAGAGGTCAGCACGCATGCCTCTGGGCCAGACTTCCTGGGTTCATACAAAGTTCACGGACCCTAAGTAGATAACAGTCCCTACCTCACTGGGTTCCTGAGAGGGTCGAAAAGGCCGATACATAGAAAGAAAGGTGCCTGACACCCAGGGGGAAACCAACACATATTAGCTATTGTTGCACTCAAGTTACAGGTGGGGGAACCTGAAACACAGAGAGCAGACTCTAACCTGGCCAAGGTCAGGGGTGGAGTAAGGCTGGGATTTGAACCCACACTCTCTGAAGCTAGTACAGCTGTTAGAAGCTGGTAGCCCCAGAGCCAAATTGGCCCTTAGATGTATTTTACTTGGTTCCCACAGTTATTTATTTTTTTTCATTGCATTTGTTGCCAATATTTTGCAGAGGCTGATTTCTCATGCAAATCTGCGTTTCTAATTTCTCTTGAAAAACTGGAAGGTCTGGCCCCCTGGGGCCTGTACTGTGGCTGGAAGTGATTGACGATGTCCAGTGTTCCCGACATGTGGACCAGTTTAGGATGCCAGTTGGCCCTGCATCAGCATTTCTCCAGCATTTAACTACTGTGCAGCTCTGCCATTTAGGGTGGGCCATGAGGGAGGTAAAGAAAGCTGCATGGGAGGTGTGGTAGGATGTGGTGTCACCTCTAGTTTGGTGGTAGAGTGGGCAGGTCAAAAAAGCTTCATGAGGATTCACATCAAACTAATAATGTCTGCTAAGCCCCACTCTATACTGGCACTGAGCTGGGTACTTTTATACAATCACATCTATTTTTCACAATCTAACTCCAAGGTAAGTTTAATAGTGACCTCATTTTTTTTTTACTTAAGGACATGGAGGCTCAGAGAGGCTGAGTAAATTGTTGAAGGTCACACAGCCAGTATGTGATGGATGTGGGATGAGAACTCGGGCTTTTTGATGCAAAGTCCACTCCATCCTCTTGGAGAAGGGTGTGTAGAAATGATCCTGGAAGAGGGAGCACAGCAACAGACAGGACAGGGGGTCTGAGGGCAGACGAGGCAAGAGGTCACAGCAGACAGGAGGGGGAGGAAGGGAGGAATGTCCCAAAGGGGAGGCCTTCATTCAGAAACGGAAGCTGGCACACAAATTTTAGGTGGATGGATATTGAAGCTAGGTCACAGGTGGGCACAGAATGAATGGCCACTGGACAAACAAGTGGCCTCCTAAGACAAAGTCTGGGGAAAGGCCCCGTGATGCCCTGCTCTGAACCCAGCTCACCGATACCACTTTCCAGTGAGGGACTGTACCTGTCTACTTCCCTTCCCACCAATAACCTTGGGCTCTTAAGGCACTTATTTGTGGCTGTTCTTGGAACACAGTAGGCGTGTGACACAAGTCTGCTAAGTGACAGAGCCAGTCACTGAGTGACAAGCCAAGGCCAGCTGAGTTGGCAGCATTTTGCCTATAGGATGCAACCACAGGGTTGTCACACACTCAACAACAGCAAGGTGCCAAGCACAGGCTGGGCCCTGGAGATGAAGACTGCCCCATGAGATGGACAGGGCCCCTGCCCTCAGGAGGCTTACCTTCCAGTGGAGAAAGCAGACATTTCAGAGAGAAACAAATGAACATATAATTCAGGCAGTGATGAGTGTGGTAGAGAAACATATAACAGGGTGAGGGGATGGAAGAGAATATTTTAATCTCGGGGGTCAGGGGAGGTCTCTCTGTTGAGGGGACATTTGAGCAAAGAGCTGATGAAGCAGGAACATGAGTTGTGCAGAGATCTGGAGGAAGTGTGTTCCAGGCAGAGGGACCAGCAGAAGCGAAGGCTCTGACGCAGGGCTGTGCATGAAGTATTTGAGGAAGAGGAAAAGGGGCAGTGTGGTTGGAGTGACTTGGGTGAGGGACAGGCACGTGGTGGGAGGGCAGATCAGTAGGGCGCTGACAGAGACTGAATTTATAACAACACGGATCTCTGACGTTTCCATGGCTACTGACAGCCATAAAACTCTAGAGCCGGTGAGGATGCTGTGCTGCGCCACCCAGGCCTCCTACTCAGGCTAGTCATACTTAGCTACCCGTGTGCTGGCTGCTGAAGGTCCAGTCTTTCTCCAGGAACTGCTCTCAGCGGAAAGGAGCGGCCTCCTCCAGGGTCATGCCCGCTTCACTCCCCCATATCCAATTAAAGATATGGTACAAAGACCCAACCCTTTTGCCTCCATTCAGGGTGACTCTGAGGGCCATCCAGCTGCAGAATTCCCATGGGACCAGCTGAGGCCTCTGTCGCGACTGCATCCCAGCTCAGCTCCTCCTGCCCAACCCTGCTTCCCTCACTCCCTCCAGTGTTGATCCAACAAAGTCTCCTGCTTACAAACCTCCACCTCAGAGCCTGTGCCCTTGGGAACCCAACCTAAGACAGACCTGGAAGTAATTTTCACATTTCCTAAGCCTTTACCTGACCCTCACTGCCACAGGCCAGAAGTCGACCCATTTTACAAGCAATGAAATAGGCTCAAAGAAGGGAAGAAAACTGCATTGAATAAGTAAGCCACAGAAGGCTTAAAGTCCAGGTCCTCCACCTTCAAGTTCAATACTTTCATTGAGTCAACCCGATATATATGGAGCTCCTACTAACTGTGAGACTGTGCAAAGGAGAGAACAAGACACAGTCCCATCAGCAAAGGAGCGTGAGCTTCCTATGGGAGAAGTGTGTTGAGATGTGTCCAGGTAGGTGACTGCGGACTTTGAGTGTTGAGTAAAAGATGGGGGACTTTGTGCCAGGTAAGGGGTCTAGCCTGGTGGAGCCATTCAAGGATTTGATACAGAGGAGGCACGTGGTGAAATTTGGGTTCTATAAGAGCCCTGAGATGGCAGCATTTTGGCTACAGGTTGCAAACGTTAAGGTTGTCCAATTCAACAACAGCAAGATGCCAAGCACAGGTTAGACCCTGGAGATGAGAATAGACCGGGACAGCAAGAAGGTTGGAGGCTGAGGTTCCTCTCTGGAGGCTGTCACAGTCATCATTCCAATTGAGAGACACTGGTGGTCTGGGCTACGGCACGGCAGTATGATGGAGAGAAGCGGACAAGGAGGAGGATATGCAAGAGGAAGAATGGACAGGCAACAGGATGGACTTGGTAGGGAGGGGTTAGGGACCAGGCTCTACCGTGGGCAGCCAAGATGTTCCCATGGGGACAGGACAGTGGCAAAAGCTGGCCTGTGGGAAGATGACAGGTTTGGCTAGTAGGGTCAGGCTGAGCTTCAGGGTTTTCCTTGTGGAGGAGTCCAGGTGCTCAGGGGCACTTGCAGCCCTGGAGCTCAGCAGAGACTCCTGGGAGCGAAAAACTGGCTAAATTCAGGGTATGGGTGTGTGTTTTCTTAGCCCGGCCAGTGTTTATTTTGGAAAAGTATTAAATCCCAACATCCTGCATTAAATCACAACATCTCAACCCTTCCAGAGTCTGGACTTCAACCCCACCCACTGACCCTGATCTGCAGCTCACTCCTTCTAGCACCTCAACCCCAGGGGTCCCTCCAGCCTGCAAGACCATCAGTCCGCAGGTCGTTCCACTGTTTCACTGTCCCTTGCCTGCCACATTTCACGTCCCTCCTTGCCCAGCTCAAATTCTGTGGTCAGTGATTATAATCACTCTCCTGGCTACACCCTAGGCTGCCATGATGCCCTTCCACTTCAGCCACAAACCTGGTAGATGGAATGTTTCCACGTACCCCACATGGGCACCCAAGCAGAGGAGAGAAGCCCGAGAAAGCACACGCCTCGTTTTAATACATGATGGTTATCGCAGATGAAAGCCCAGCCAGCATACTGTGTTTCCCTAGTACCGTCATCTCCCTATCCTAGGAGTTCTCACATCTCTTCCCAATGCAACACCCTGCCCCCAAGGTCACTGTCCCCAAGGTCGCTGTCACCTGATCACCTTGAGAAAAACAGAAGCAGGAAGAAAAGGCCTTCCGGAGGCTTCCACCTACCTGTCCATCTGCAACCACACAGGCACACTCTCCCTTCTCTTGCATGCCCCATCTGGGCTCCCAGATGAGGCCAACACTCCATCTGCACACCAGGCCTTCCCCCCTCCTTACTCAGGGACGTCCCCACAGCAAGTCCCCCTCCCATCCGCATCATCAATTTCTTCCCCTGGACTGAATCACTTACACAAAGGGTCAGCAAATGTTTTCCGTAGAGGGACAGCTAGTAAATATCTTAGGCCCTGGGAGCTATGTGATCTCTGTCACAGCCACTCAAGTTTACTGTCTAGGCAGAAAGCAGCTATAGACAGCTCGAAAACAAAACAAGCATGGCTGTGCTCTCATGAAACTCGTACT